CAGGACAGGCTGCCAGCTCACAGGGTGGGAACGAGTGGAGGGGACAGTCACACACTGTGAACACTGCTGATTTAGTGGCACAAACGGGCACCCTGGGCACCCAGGAAGGGACACCGTCTGCCTGGAGAGTTGAGGAAGACTTCAGTTGAGGCAACATTTAGGTGGGACTGAAGATGTTGTTGCGAGGAGAAGCACGGAGGACCTCCAGACAGAGGGACCGCATGGTCATAGGCTGGGGGTATGAAAGTGGGTGGCCTGCGAGGAGAAGGTGTCCACAGGGTTCATGAGGAGCAGGTAGGAGACACGGGGCTGGAGAGGAGGATGGAGGCCGATGCGAAGGGCCCTGTGTGCCAAGCTAGAGCTGCAACTCTCTCCTGTGCACAGGATTTCAGATGGTAGGTGATGGGGGGGAGATCAGAGACAAGAGGTAGGAACAGCTTTATTATAAGGCAGTAATCGACTGCTGTGTGGAAATGGCCCTCCTCTAAAAGAAGCCAGGTGTGTTGGCTTGGCCTCCAGACAGCTACCACCCAGGCCTTTGCGTGGCAGGTGAACTCCTTCCCCCATCTCCAGCTTTCTGTCAGCCAGCCAGCCCTTCTACCCCTGCCTTGCTTCTCCCCTGGGATGGGCACGCAGCGGGGGAGTGAATCTCCCAGAAGGGGGCGCCAAAGAGCAGGTTATTGAACCAGAGATTAAGCCTCCACATCCCTGAAGGTTTGAGAGAAACAGGTAAATACTGAAGCCAAACTTCTTCCAGTTTACAGGGTGAGCCTTCATCTACCCAATATAATGGTTTCCTCGGCAAATAAGTGGTTCATCAATACACTAAAATAAAATAAAAATGGCTCACGTGTCTAAGAGGTAAAACAATTTGGCAATGCCAAGCTAGAGTCACAGAGACTTTATGGAATACCTTAGATTCAGCCATCATTCCCCTGGGAATTTATTCCAAGAAAGTAATTAAAAAACAATAAGTCTGGTAAGAAAAAGCAACAAGTAGGTGTTGACCACAGCAATATCTATAGCCAAATAGCAAGAATAAAAACCTAGAAGCCACCTAATTAAGGAATTTGGTGTGCCAATACGACCTTGGACAATTGCTAGATAACAGCTTGTCACTTTAAAAAAAATCAATTTTTGACACAGAGCTTGTTGGGGGTAGGGGTTTCATATTGTACCGCCTTCACCCTGCCTTTTTTTCAATCTGGGACAAAAAAAACAAACAAACCCAGATACTGTCCCAATACACAGTGATGATCTCCTTCAACAGCTGTGTTGCAACTAGTCTTTTCATTAATACTGTGCTGTGGACATCTGCTCACATACTAAGTGAATGTAGCCTAATTTTTAACGAGTGCATAGTCATCATTTACTTGCATATATCAACATTTAATCCATTACCAGTGGCCATTTAAATTATGTTAGGTTCATACAATTCAAGGTTAATTCTTGCTTAACACTGACATTTCTTCCAAATTTTGCCATGTGTGCTACGTGCTAGGCACAGCAATTCTCAACCTGTGGGTCGCGACCCCTTTGGCGGTCGAACGACCCTTTCGCAGGGATCGCCTAAGACCATCCTGCATATCAGATATTTACATTATGATTCATAACAGTAGCAACAATACAGTTATGAAGTGGCAACGAAAATAATTTTATGGTTGGGTCACAACATGAGGAACTGTATTTAAAGGGCCAGAAGGTTGAGAACCGCTGTGCTAGGGGGAAGGATAGAAATGAATTTCCACCACTTCCTCTGCCTGAGCCACACTGTTTCACTGCCATACGAAGAGGCTCTGGAACTAGAGAGAGGTTGTGACGTGATGTGGTGGTTGTAGAAAATTGTGAATGTATTTAATGTTGCTGGCATGTACATTTTTAAAATATATTTTATTGATTTTTTACAGGGAGGAAGGGAGAGGGATAGAGAGTCAGAAACACCAATGAGAGAGAAACATCAATCAGCTGCCCACTGCACACCCCCCACTGGGGATGTGCCCGCAGCAACCAAGGCACATGCCCCTGACCCAAATCAAACCTGGGAACCTTTGCTGCAGACCAAGATCAATAGTAATTGATATAAATGTGAGAGGTCTGGCAGAAGGCTGACCAATACTCCTTTTGATATTCACAGGGTGAATTTCTACATTTAATACCTGCTGCTGACTCAATGGCCTAAAGCAAACTCCCCCAAGACCTGACAATCTTACTGTTTGCTAAACATTACCATTGATATGTCTGTTTGCATTCCCAAAGGCAATTGTGTATTCTAGCTAATAAAAGCAGCTGGGAATGGAGCAAGGGAGGGAGTTTGACCTTCATAGTTAGGCTGTCCTCTGGTCCCCTGGTAATTATAAAAATTAATATTCCATCTTGTGTGTATCATTTGCTTGTCAGCCCTCCCTCCAAGTCTTTGAACCCGCGAAAGCCACGCTGTCCGTGGACTTTCGCAAACCTTCAGTCCACAGGTTGACGCTCTATCCATTGAGCCAAACCGGTTAGGGCTGGCATGTACATTTTGAAGGATCATAGACAAATTACATTTTATTTAAATTAAATTTTATTAAAATTTTATTATATTTCATGTGAAATACATTGTATTTTAACTGCATAGGACAAAAACTACTAGTAAAATTTTAAGTATATGTAAGATAAATACAAATATTTAAAAACTGCATCTCTAAGGGGAGCCCCCTCTGCCATGGCAGCTACATGGGATACAGCCCAGGACGGGGGACCACGGGCCTCACAGGAGCTGAGGGGAGTTGCCCACACGCTGTAGGTGGTTCTTCTGCCTCGTGAAGGTCAGTGAAAGCTGTGCCCGGAGCCCGCTCTGGCTCCGGAGAGACCACTGGAGTCGGCGTTGCCTCTTGAGGTCTTTTTTGAACTTGCTCTGAGGCTGGTTCTGTAGATCCCAGAAGAGAACATGTTACCACCATGACTGCCTCCATGTGCCTTCCAAAGACGGAACATCTCTCCTGTCCATCCATGGAGTCCCAGTGCCAGAGCCACCCCAGGAAGTATTCCCAGGCTGCAGGCCATG